TCCAGCAATGCCGTCTTCAGAGCATTTTACATCTCTAGGAGGAGGATGTATAAGTGCAATTGCTCTTCCAAGGTAGTCCCATAAGTTTCTCTATCGGGTTAAGGTCAGGAGAGTTTGGTGGCCAAGGTATTCGTTTAATGTCTTCACTTTCAAGGAATTCATCAACGAGGTTTGCTCGATGTGGACGGGCATTATCATCCATAAATAAAACGTCAGGTCCATATGCACCCCTGAAAAGTCTTACATAAGGATCTAAGACCTCATCCCGAAATATCTGGCCTGTCACAGATCCGCTGCTGAACACGTGTAGGGGCGTACGTCCATCGATCATTATTCCACCCCATATCATCACACCTCCATTACCGAAACGGTCACGTTCCACAATGTTCGAGGGATCATTTCGTGTTCCTGACTCCCTCCAGATGTAAACACGTTTAGAATCACCAGTTAAACTAAACTGCGACTCATCAGTAAAGAGAACATGGGACCATTGATGTTCTTTACACCAATTAAAGCGATCCCTCTTTTTCTGTGAAGACAATAAAACACATACCCTTGGCTTTCTGGCATAAAGGCCTTTTTCATTAAGCCTTCTGTATATTGTTTGCCGTGATGCAACAGTTCCAGTGTGCGGCTGCAAGCTCTGAACTTAACTGGCGGAGCAGTAGCCTTTCCTGTTACGAATGGGCAGTTAATGCCCAGAATACCGAATCTTGAGAAGCAGTTGTTTTCAATTCATTTACGACTTGTCTTCAGGCCTCCTTACAACAGCTTACCATCATTTCTGAAACTTGTTTCCATAGCTTCGAGACTGTCTTGATCTTAAAATCATTCAGACATGTGGCTGCTTTCCATGATTGACTGCCCTGCTTTCTAATCGGCCGATAATTCCACCACTTTCACAAGATTCTTCCAACTGATAACTTCGAAGCCATAGCAAACTGCTTTGAGTCCCTATACACTGAAATTCAAACGCTATGTACTGCAGAAATTCACTTCATATAATTCAGTTTGCGCAAAAGCGACTTGATTCACTGTCAGATGACGTAAACGCCTATGATTTGCATATCCACAAACCGTTTGATTACTTTTTGATTGGATAATGCTAATTAGGCTTGGTTTTTCACACATTCCCTGCAAATACGGATCACATTGATTCGATATTTCATTGAATATCATCATTTTTATGTATGTAAAGATAATTTTGGACATGAGTGTATATTAATTTATATATAGCATTGATCTTATGTAGGTATTTCGACATAAATCGGACTTTTTCTGAAATGACATGCCAATTTTTGTCCAGATTTCGATTCTACGACTCATTATGCTTAAATATTGGTTCGAAATTCAAAAATTTATTTTAGGTCATTTTTTTTTCAGTTTGCGTCAAGAATAATTTACTTCGCGGACTTCTTAACTTATTAGCAACCTATTTTCCTTTCCTTTTTTACTTCCTTGTAAAAAGCAAGTATTGTAATCGCGAAAAGTTTCAGGCAGCATATTTCAACGAAAATATCTAATTTGACCGCTATCGAATGCATTTTAACGATGTTTTTGCGTGATATCTGTACGTAAGAACAGAATAAAAGTTTTCCTCCAAAGAAAATATAAAACTGTTTTAAAATGAATTCTAAAGAGAATTTTTTGTGGCGTCTGTACAAACGTATCTCGCAAAACTCAAAAACAAGTAGCCTCAGAACGTTGAAATTTTGTATATAGGACTGCTATAACATGTAGTTGTGCACCTCGTATTTTGGTTGCAATCGGCCACACCAAACGTATATAAATATATATATATATGCACTCTGTTACTCAGCTCAGTGATCTCAGTTTCTTTCACTCTTATGTTTGTATATTGTGCATTTTTTTGCTTTAAATATGATTGAATTATGTTGTTCTTATCTTCCGGTTAAGATTTTTATGCCTTTAGTAAATCTGTATGCAATTTTTTTAGAATTATCAACAATTTTAAAGTTGTTTAAGTGCCGCTAAGCCTAATAATGTTTTTGACGACGACCATTGCTTGTTTACATTTGAAACAGCAAAATAGTGGATTCGTTGCCAATCTAGAGAAACTTAGCTTCGCAACAACAAAGATAACGCCTTCATTTATTATTGCGAATTAAATCATGCTTAATCCTTTCTGGAATTTTTTCGAGGAAATAAGTGTTTAAGATTTAACTGATTCTTTAAGAACGGAATTTATTGAATGCGAAATACTCAATCATCTCTGAAAAACATTTTCTTTTTTGTTTTGTTTGCTTAATTTTCTTTCTACATCGTTCTAGCTTTATTATAGTATTTGAATAGACCATGTGGCAACGATTACATAATTCTTTAAATGATATAAATTTTGTGCATTTTGAGTTATAATGTGAAAGAAATATAATACTACTGTTAAGTGAGCCTAGCGTCGCTATGATAAACAAATAGAGTGAATTTTAAAGAATGCATTTATTCTATTGTGGTTTATGCGCTGTCGGCGAAGTAGATTTAATTGAATCCAATAAGTTTAAATGAAATGCAAGAAAAAATGCGTATAATTTAATATTCCGTACAAGGTAGTCATGTGGTGTACATATCAGATTTTTTTTTATTGCACACGAGGGAAAAAAAAGGTCGTCGTTCACACTATCAAATAATTAACGCTTATAACAAGTACGTCAAATTTCAAAATGCGCCAATATGTAAATTCATGCACATCCTAGGAAAGTAAAAAAAAAAAAAAAACTTTTTAATTTTTTGCAGGTATACTTAAAAAATACATCTACTTTAAGATGACGCTAAAAATTATAGGTTATAACCCAAAAATTGCTTCGAAAAATTTATATATATCATTTAAAAATAAATCGTAAAAAAACAGGTGAATTTTATTCGGAATGAGCCTAAATTTCGAAATGTGATACGAAAAATCAAATAAGTTTAAAAGTGATATTAATATATACCAAATTAAATTTACTTGGAGCAGCTAAATTTTTGAGAGCTAATTTTTTAAAAACTACTTTTGCGATTATTACAAAACTTGGCATTATTTGAGTAGTAGAATCAAAATATGGAAAAAAAAAAATTGGCACATCATTTCAGAAAAAGTCTGATTTTGTGTCAAAATATGCATATTAGAACAATGCTATTTATAAATCTAATACATATCCTAAGTTGCGCTTTCGAGGCATGAGAAACGCAAGTTGAATTTTGTCAATCGGCCCAAATAGATCGGGAGATATTGATCTGTCCTTTTTTTTCACAAGCACACGCACCCAATAAAGGAAAAACACATGATAAATATTATTAAAACTATTGTTATATACCTTAACACCTACTTAGTTAAATTCAGATTTTTTTAATGCATGTTTAAATCTTCTTTTTAAATTACAGTTTTTAATTAAATCCATTAAAGAGTAAAAAATAATTTATTTAGCTAGCGTCAATATCCTTGATCAAAGGTAACTGAAAATTAAAATAGTAGGATTGCTAACAATTATGGATTTTAAATCAAAATTGTTAAAAAGAAATTGAATACATTCATTTTGGTAAATGTGATTTCTAGACTCACCTTTACTTTCACTTTACTGTCTGAAATTCTATTAATATCGTAGTATAATTCGAATTAGGAAATCCTATAATTTTACTTTTAGTCATACTTTGTTCAAGAATATCACGATAGCTAAAAAACATTATTTTACACTTTTAATGCTTTTTATTAAAACTGTAATTTAAAGTTTTATATACTTCATTTTACACTTTTTAGTCTACAGGATAAGGCGAAACAATAAAGAAAGAAAATCACTATATCTGAACACAAGAAAATTAAATATGGCATAAGGTTACATCAGATTTACTTAAATTTATGTTGAATTTTGAAATTTGATCTCATCATTACTTAAAACTTGAGATAGTAAATAATAAAGGATTAAATCTGATTTGAAAAGCTATCATTATTAAAAACATTGATAAACGACCAAAATTTAGCAAATCGCTGTTCTTAAATTTTCCTTACCTGGATGAATATTTTTTGGTCTATCTAATAGTGAAAATGACCAAAATTCTGCATTGATTAGTTGTACCATTAATCACAGAATTATAAGAAAATTTTCACTATATTAAAAAAATGTCTGTATCAAGTTGTAAAACATCCATGTAAAATTCCATATTCTCATCATAAATATGCATATGTAGAAAATTTCAGGAAAACTGGGCCAGAAGAGGGGGTCAATTTTTATTTTAAGATTTGGCTCAAAGAAAGAAACACATCAAATTATTTAAAATATGCAATAAATCATTTTTATTACTTTAAGGTTAGCAACAGAATTAGGAAACCTACTAACAACACAATAATATGCAACCTGTTCATTTTGCCTAAACTGCGCATAATTATAGACAAACTACAAAAGACTGTTGCTATACCCCTCTGAATTAAGTGAGAAAATCTAACTGGAGTTATCTAAGTAATTTATTACTTTATGAGTTTGTCCAATTGCCAAAACTTGCTTTGAATCCAATGCATAAGCATACAGAAAGTATCAGAGATTCAATATTCGAAAGATGTGGCATTGCTTACATTATTTATTCAGCAAGAAAAAGCATTTAAAATTTTGTAAAAAAAAAAAAAAAAAAAAAAAAAAAAAAAAAAAAAAAAAAAAAGTGCAGAAAACCTGAAAATAAAAAATTTCAGAGAAGCAATTTAAAAGGCAATTTAAGTCAGAAAGAGTTACCATTAAAAAAATTAATATACATTTCTTTCTTTCTTTTTTTTTTTTTTTAAATTCAGTAAAATACACTACATGTTCTAAAATTATCTTAGAAAAGAGGAAGGAAAAAGTCTCAAGAAAACGTTACCTTCTGACTAAGTATTTATTAACTATGAATTTTCTGTTGTTTATGAACTATTACATGTTTTGCAGAGATTCAATTTTAGGTTCTTTTAAAATAAAATTAGAAATGGTAAAATCAATTTTTAGTATAAATAACTCACTTTAAATAAGTTTAGTTAAACTATGACCATAGCATAAAATGTTTTATTTATAACATAACACCAGTCAAGAAAATTATTCACTCCATTCAAATAAATTATAAAATATAGGCATATATTTAATTAGTTACCAACATAAAGTTTGATTTACAAAGCATAATAAATTCTGAAACAGGATCATTTTCACCTTCAGATCTCATCGTACCAGTTATTTCCTCATTCTCAACTAAAGGTAAAAACAAGTTAACAAATTCAGCAGTATATGGGGGAGCAATTATATCAAGAACTTCAGTTACAAAATAACGTATTAAAGATATATCAGTATCTTGGCGCTGCCAACAAGACTTTATATAATTAACAACTGAAACTGCACATCCTCGACTCAAAAGATGAACCATTCTATCAAGAAGCATTTTTTTCATTTCTAATTGAACCAAAACATCTAGATCTTCTTGAGGCATTTCAAACAACCTAATCAAAAGTTCCAATACTTTTTGATGCAACGTGTTGTGGCATGTAGCAACTTCATCCAGCAGAGCTAAGTGTAAAGGTGTATGTTCTGTAGATAATTTAAAATAACTTTTTTCTGAAACTGTGAAATCAACCCACCTAACAACACCCAAAGCAACAACAGGAAATCTTATACATTGATATAAAGTATTCAATTCTGGTATAAGTTCTGAAGATCCTTTTTTTTCATTACAAATCATATGTACTTTTTCAATAGCCTGTGTTGTAGTTTTCAGTTCTTCTTTATTCACACTCTTCCTTGCACCTTTTTTATATGTTTCATGGACACTTACAGCATATGCAAGTAAGTAAATATACTTAGGTTTATGTTCAGGATTAATTTTCATTCCAGGCTTGAATAAGGCATCCATAAGAAGATCTAAAAACTGAGGAACTCGTATAAATTCAACAGGTGGTGGTTCCACAGCTTGATACATTTTGAACAAAACAGTAATATCAGCAGGATTGAGTGCATTTTTGCACAGCATTGCTGAAAGTGCCTGGCAAGCACGGGGCACACCGGTGGCACCATTTAAAGCCATAGTTATAGGTGTAGCATTATGTTCTGTTCCTTGAACATAACGACTAGTTTCTTGAGAAAGACGCTTTATGTTAGAACCTCCCCTAGGCTCTTGAGCAAGCAAATGTAGCAGTGTTTGACTGTACAAATATGTATGTTCTCCATGGCAAACCATTCTGGTAAATTCATGCAGATTCTTCTGTAATTCTTCCTCTCCACCTTCCAAAAAATTTGATATTGAAGTTTTCAGAATTCGTGAAAACACTTCAAGCTGCTGAGAAGCAGTAGAAATACTTGTGATTTCACCTTGATAACCAGCATCTGAAATAAGTTTGATAGTAAAATTTAACATAAGACAATCAGGATAATCTTCAGCAAGTTTATAGATAAGTGATCTCCAGGTATGATGGTCAACCATTTCTGTCAACCACCCAGGTGTTTCACCTTCTTCTGTAAATATAGAATCAGCTTTCTTAGGATCAAAATGTCTTATTATCACCTCTCTCAGATGGTCTTCAACAAGAGCTTGAACTTCTGATATTTTCATGCCAGCCATAATCAACCATTCAGCTAATAAATTTGCAGTTTGTGCAATTGCATGGTAATTTTCAGATAAAAGATCAATTACTTGTTCTGGATTACCACCAGATTGAAAGTATCGTTTTAATTGAACAAATATTTCTGGTTCCATAATAAAATCCTGACTACTGAATTTTTCTAAACATTCCTGTTGAATAAGAGCATTTCTTGCTTCTTGATCCTCAGCTGATGGTGATTCTGAATCATGATCCATGTTAGTATCATCGTACCAACCTCTGTCAGTATCAATATCTTCATCATAATCATCTTCCATAATTACTCTTTTGACAAAAATTACTTTGAGTAGTTATTTGAAATTTCTTGAACTTTTTCCAGGTATTTCAACTACCTATTAAAAAAAGAAAACATTGCGTAATTAATTTGTGAAAAAATGAAACAGTTATGCATGAATTCTGAATATTATTTGTTATATAAAATAATAATTTCCTTTCCAAATATATAAAATATTGAGACGCTTTATGAAAATCATTTAAATATTAGCAATCTGATTTAAATCTTCTATTTAAGACATATTATATTCTGGAAAATGAATAAAAATGTCTTACTCCCAGAAAAATAACTAGCCTACAATAATAATTTATGTTTTATACTTTCTAATAATGTTAATAATAACACAACTCCAGAAATACAATGAATGAAAGATATGACTTTCAGCTCCATAACCTCCCTGATGCAGCAACTGATTCACTGTACCTTCATCTTTGAGCAAATAAGAATACTCATCATATCCAATGACATGCCAGATCATTACACCTGGGGATCATCCCAATATGATGCTCTCCAGATAATGGCATGCAGTGGTGTAGCTAGGGTGGGGCAAGGGGGGACATTTGTCCCCGGGTGTACCATCCAAGGGGCGCCAAATTGATGCTACGAAATTTTTTAATGAAATGCTTTCCATTCTTGGCACACAGAAAGGGGCGCAAATTCTTCAGTTGTTCCCGGGCGCTGGAAACTCTAGTTACGCCCCTGATGGCATGCACCCTATAGCATCTAATGTGTATATGACAATCACTGAAACTGACACAAAATTCATCAGAGCAGATGATCTGTTGCCAATCAAAATGCTACTGCCTGTGCTGTGAGCCCACTATAGCTCTAGGCATTGACAATTTTGAGATGGGAGAATCCAGCTCAAAGAAATACAAACACATAATACATAGTGCAGCAGATGTTGGAATGCTGTTAAAGTTGATAATGGCATGTCTGTAGCAATACTATGATGTTACGCCAACTGCCAACATGAAGCTGCAGTCTATCAATGTCATGCAGATGAGAAGTTATTTATTCTGTGTTGATATAACATTTTGTGGTCTATTGCCAGGTTTGTAACTTATCCAGTACACTTAAGCTCACTGCCTTCACATGTGCATTGACAAGGCTTTATGTCTCATACAAGCTGTGATTCTATAATTTAGAAGTTCATCTTACAAGGCTATCCTGTTGAACAGTGTTTATATTAGGCCCTTTGTCGTCAACGATGCATAGCGATTTCTCGTGAAACATTTATCACTAGAAGATAACCAAACACTACTTTTAACTACTTTTACTTTTACTATGGTCCTCTATTTATACAGCTAACACATTTCAGGAGGAGTTGTTTAGCCCACACATGTACTATCATTCTGAAATTCTAATCATTTGCATATCATAACCAGCTATTCAGTTTATTTGCATGATTCTTTCACGGTATTGCAAATTTCACACAAAAGAGTATACTGCAAGTAAGCACATAATATTCCATCTTTAAAATTTTATACCTGGCAACATCACTACAAGGAGAAGTTGCAGATATAGTATTTAAAATGAACAGATGTAGAGCAGTGGATCGGAGAAATATTTCCCAAATATTATAACAGGCTCGAATTGAAGAAAAACTACCCGAAACCAGACTTATTTCAAGAGCTTGCCACTGATGTAGAAAGAATAACTGAGCTTGCATTTTTGGATTACACCCTTGAAAGCAGAAATATTTTGAATTTTGATATTTTGCCAATTTTATTAGGGATACAGTTACAGCAAACACTTCAAATGGAGAAGCTCTCATACATCCCATGAAACTAATTAAGTAAATGTATACCTGTTTTGGAATTTCCAGAGGTTTCACTACATGGCCAATCTTTTTTATTCAACTGATTATGAAGGAGGAGAAGCAGGTTTTCTGCAAAGAGTACCCAAAAGCTCAGATTCGAAGCCATACAGACCTCTACTCAATTTAGGGAAGGTGAACTTTTTCAACTGTAATAGCATAAGATGAAACGATCAAATTAGCATCTAATAGAATGTATCTTCACACTAGCTGGCTGAATAAATGTTAATTATGAACCAGGTTTATGCATATTATACCCTCAGAGCTGAGATAGTCAGAGTACAGATTTCAGTACTATGGTTTCCTCATCCTCATAGATTCCAATTTACAGCAAAACTTGTCAGCAATCAATGCATGGATGATATTTTTATGAGTTTGGGTAAGTAAGGCACATTATTTTAAAACTAAACAATCAACATTTACTTATCTTAAAATTCATAAATAAAAAATACTTCTTGTAAATTACATGCATATTTAATTAAACATTTTCATTTTTTACTCAAACAGAAATACCACTAAATATACTATGTTCTTAAATGAATATTTTAAATCACAAATATTAACCGAAGGAAAAAATAGAACCCATAAACCACATGCCTTTATGAAGTTTTCGTATTCCTATTTCTGGAGGAAAATTAAATAAATAAAAAAAAATAAAAAAATAAAAAAAAAAAAAAAAAAATATTATGTATTTTCAGTGTGCCTACAGATTCATTGATATGGCAGAATTTTGAAACATGTTAAAACATTGTTTTGAATTGTCCAAAACTGAAATTGAAAAGTTGCAGTCAATTAAAATTCATTTGATTTTTTATAACATCCCTTTTTCACTGACTTTGATGAAGAAAGTTGATATTTCATATAATTTTGCAATCTTTTTTTTTTTTTTTTTAATTGCTAAATGATTTCTGTTTGTCAAGCAGAACATTTTCTCTGAAATAATTTGGTGTTTATTATTAGGTAATAATTGCTTAACAGGTATAGGTGCACCTTGCACAAAGAAAGGAAGGGGCATTTCTATATCTCCCAATCTACTGGGTCGATTGCTGAAATTTAACTTGCATTTTCTTGTCTCAAAAGCAAGACTTAGGGCGTACAATAGATTTATTTACAGCATTGTTCTAACATAGGTATTCTTACACAAAATCTGATTTTTCTGAAATGACATTGGCAATTTTTTTTCCATATTTCAATTCTACAACTCAAATTTTGCCAGAGTGCCATGTTTGGTAAAAATCACACAAGTAGTTAAAAAAAAAAAAAAAAAAAAAAAAAAAACATCGTCAAAATTTTAAGATCTCAACGTTAATTGAATTTGGTATACATTTATTAATATCTCTTTTTTTTTTTTATTAAACTTACGTGATTCCTTCTTTCACAGTTCGAAATTTAGTGTCAGTCCAAATAAAATTTATGGCTATTTTTCTGATTTGTTTTTAAAATTTGTATTTTTTTAGTAATTTTTGAATTAAAACCTATCAAATTTTAAACATCATCTTAATGTAGATATATTTCTAAGCATATTTGCAAAAATACAACTTTTTTATTCAAAATTTCCAAAATTACACATGAATTTATATATTGGCACATTTGTTATAAGCGATTATAAGGCCGAATGTACTTTAAGCACTTTGTTAAAATTATTTGAAAGTATGAATCACGCAACTTTTTTCCCACTCATGCAAAATGAAAAAGAGAAAGGGAAATAGGTTGCTATAAATTAAGAATTTCATTAAATGAATATTACTTAGTGTAAACTCAAAAGAGTGCAACAAGATAAATTTTTTAATTCCTCGTTAAGTTTATATATTTATTTTTTTATTTCCAAAGGCTAGGCAAAAAGTTACAAAGAACTAAGATCTTATAAATAGAGGTTAAAAACAATAGATCTAAGAACAAAAAGGACCAAAGTCATTGCCTAAAGAGCCTTCTTGCCTATTGTTATCTTGACTCTTCTGTTAAGACCACGATGAGCCCCACACTGAAGTACGTGGTCCTCGTCCATTTCTTTTCAGAATCACAAAGTTGACAAATAGGATCACTGAAAATGCCCATGGGATGCAGGTAGGCGGTAAGGCAATCATGTCTTGTAGACAGAGTGAAAGCCGCAACTGCACTGCGTTGTGGACTATCAGGAATAATAGAAGTATTTAAACTTCTCCTACCATTTACGACTGTATGAGTATGAAGATCGCAAAAGATATTGTATGTAAATAATTTTTTTACAGTTTAATCCTCCAATAAGAAATGGCTGCATTAGGATGCTGTAGTCCACTTTTTGCAAGGAAGTCCACTTGTTCATTTGCCCCAAGGGCCACAATATCCAAACACTGTTAAATGTGACAGTTCTGAAGAATTCTTGATATTGCAAAAATTCAGGCATTAATGGGTGTTCAAAAGAGCTAAGTGATAGTATGGCAGCATGAGAATTAGAAAAAATGACTGCCTTTGCAAACTTGTATTGGATAGTTGATAATTGCTTTAGGGCTATACATATGGCTACTACTTCACCATTAAAGAAGGTAACAATGTATCCTGTAGGGGCATAAAAAAAAGAAAGCTTCAAAAACACACCAGCCCCAACTTTAAAATCGCAGTAAAACTGAGAATCATCAGTTAAAATGTACAGCCAATGAGTAGGTGGATATCTAGCCACAATGGTGTCCAAAGCGAGACAATTCAAAACACTTGGTGCAACATCTCTCTTCTTAAGGATCTTCTTAAGGATATTTCTGTCATCCAAATATAAAATCCAAATACAGTCAAAAGTCTTTAATCCGGACTCGTCGGGACTTCGGCGATTCCGGATTATCGGTTTTTCTGGATTATAGATCATCAGTTTAAATCTGGTAAGATGGCATGCAGAAATTATAAAATTAAAAATATGAAACCGTAATTTATGAAATAAAGAGCAATTATGATCTAAAGGGTATCAAAATTTACAAAAGGAAGCTTTATATTTACCGTATTTGACGGCATATAAGACACACTTTTTTCCCTAAATTTGGTCTCAAAAAAAGTTACCTGCGTCTTATACGTGAAGGTAATTGCATTCAATAATTGTTTATTTGGCTTTTACGAAACGTGAGAACTAAAAGAAACCACGCTATTGAAACTTTTTTCCCTTGTGTGTGGCCATCTAAATAAGGGTGCGTCTTTTATGCCATCAAATATGGTATTTGTTTACTTTATTAAATATTTCTTTCAACGCACGCATGCGTAAAGCACACATTACACATAGTCGAAATTAGAAAATTGCAACCAGAAAACTATTTGATGTGTATTCGTGATATTTATAATGACGAGGAATTTGATTTAAATCATATCAAAGACGGAGTACATCAAGATGAAATACTACATTTAGTAAGGAATTATAAGGCGAATAAAATAAAAAACATCTGCCCTGAAGATGAGGATAGTGCTGACAGATCAACTTCCAGTTCATTGTGCGTCCCACCCCCCGCAGAGCAGCGTGAAATTGATAAACATATTTCGGAATGATTAGAAAATCAGAGGATGTGCCTTTATCCATTTTTTGCAGCAATTCCACTTTTTTGTTTGTTGGACATCGAAACATGCTTTTGCTTTGTAGATGCTTTGGTAGCTCCAGAATCGGAAATTCTTTTTGACATAATCGAAAGTTCAAGCTTACTTTTATAAAATTGCTCTAACAGTCTGCAAAAAAATAATAAGTCGGATCCAATTAGAAGATTAACGAACAATGCAATCTGCAACATTAACTGAAATAGATAGATTAGCTTATACCATCCGTTATACATTAAATGTGCATGCCTAAACGTATTATGTGCATGCGTAAAGGTATTACGTGCATGTGTAAAGGTATTACGTGCATGTGTAGACGCATTATGCATGCGCAGAAAGTTTGTAGCTTTGAGGTCCAGATTATAGATCATTCCGGATTATGGACGTCTGGATTAAAGACTTTTGACTGTATATTAATGTCGACCTGGCAACATGTAACTATTCATCACCTGGTAACATGCTTGCTACATGGTCTGTCATCTGGTAACATGAGACTATTCCTTTGAAAAACCAGCCTCTTCTATAACTAAAATATTATGTTCCTCAAGACATCAGTTCAAATGGTTTACCACAAGAAAACTTGTAAGCGAAATGGGCCTATTTCGGGCCTAGGGTTCTTATTTTTCTTTAGGACTGGAATAATAATAGCTCTTCTCCAATGTGCCGAAATCTGACTGACTCCTATTCTTATTAAAAATCTTTCTTAATATCCAGGATGTTTTGAATATATTCATATTGGGTTTTGCTTTAGGACATGCAAACATGTCGCCAAAAGGGACAAATCTAATGAGACTTTTGTTAGTTTAAATTTGTAAGGAAATTTGAGTTCCTTACAAACTCTATTAATACCGTTTGAAGTCTCAATGGATTTGTCAGGCGAAGATTGCATGATCTTAGTTACTCAACCTGGTTGAAAGCTTCAAGCACTTTTCTTTTGACAAGTTCTGTTTGAAGCTTTGAACAGAGAAGAATAACAAAATAATTTTTTGTGCATGTTTTTCAATTTTTCTGTAGTAGTTACTATTTTTAGAACAGGGAAAAATGTCCAAATTGAAATGATGAATAAAGAGACTATAGCTGATTTCCTTCACATATTTTATCTTATATATTGGTATGGATTTTATACTGAAATATTTGGTTTACTATTTTTAACAGAATTGTTATTAAGTTGTTTCATTTCCCTGTGCAGTGCTGCACATGACTATTTGAAGAGAAAGCTAAGCTGGCAAAATTAAAATACAGGAGCATGCGCATTTAATAAATAGATAGCTCGTAATTTTGCGCTTTTGCTTTTCGAGAAAATACTAGAATATTGTGCTCTTTAAAAGCTTATAAAAGCGGGTGTTAAGTCCTTCCAAAGCCAGATGGTGCTGCCATTGTTACTGTTAAAAAATAATGTAAATGTGTGGGGTTGGCTTCAATGGTGAAGCAGAGAATGATTGTGGGTGCCTGAGCGTCTCTCAAAAATTAGTATAATAAAGATAAAGATATGTTACACAGTAGTTTGTTAATTAGTTTAATTGTTACAGTCCATTTAGAATTCGCCGGACCATTTGAGTGGTCTAGTAGAGCCGCAGCGATATCGG